GAAAATACTTTGGTTGGTGGTGTTGAAATTGTCAAAAGTCCCACATCGGTGGATGATAATTTTGAATGGAAATTTCACCCTATAAAAGGAGGCCTAATATTTAGGATTTAAACACACCTCTCATTTGCCTTTTTTATCTTCTTAAGGCATTTGTATCTTCTCTCTTTAGTATTATTTCACTTGTAATTTTGGAGTGGAATAAAATATTGATTGTGTCCGAGGAAGTAGGCAAAATTGGCCGAACCTCGTAAATTCTGGTGTTCTTTTATTGTTGTCTTATTGTCTTGTTTATTATTTAGTGGTTGTCATAATTTTTGGTATAGTAGTTGTGACTCATTCACACTATATACATTTGGCTTCCGCAACAATTGGTATCAGAGCCAAGGTACTGTCTAAGTATGCTCTGTGGTTGCAGCATAGTCTGATCTTCCACATCAGAAAAGATCTATCTTGGTAACTGAGTCAAGGTTCTGTCTGAGTATGCTTTGTGGTTGCAGCTTAGTCTGATCTTCCATACCAGAAAGGAAATAATCTTGATTTGTGTCATCAGCTACAATAATATTTGTGTCAAAATGGAAGACAATAAACAAGAAGAATCTACATCAAGTGTCAATAATACGTCATCGTTGGCATCTTCACTTATGACAAGAATTGTGTCAAATGCGAAATTTGCGGTAGAAACTTTTGACGGGTCAGGATATTTTGGGATGTGGCAAGACGAGGTTCTAGATGTTCTTTTTCAACAAGAGCTAGATCTTGCCATTGAAGAAAAGAAGCCAGATGTTATTGGAGAAGAAGATTGGAAAATTATCAATCGTGTTGCTTGCGGTACCATTCGATCCTACCTTGCTAGAAAGCAGAAATATCCATACACAAAGAAAACTTCTGCAAGTAAATTATGGAAAGCACTGGAAGATAAATTTTTGAAGAAAAACAATCAAAATAAATTGTACATGAAGAAGAGACTGTTTCGCTTTACCTATGTTCCTGGTACCACAATGAATGAACATATCACCAGTTTTAATAAGTTGGTCACAGATTTGCAAAATACGGATGCAACTTTTGATGACGGTGACTTGGCCTTGATGTTGTTGGGGTTACTTCCTAATGAGTACGAGCACCTTGAAACTACTCTACTCCATGGAAATGACAAAATTTCTCTCAGAGAAGTTTGTTCGGCTTTGTACAGCTATGAACAAAGAAAGAGAGAAAAATAAAAGGGCGGAGAAGGAGAAGCACTAATTGCGAGGGGTCGTCCTCAAAATCAAACGAGGACTAAGAAGGGAAGATCCAAGTTGAGATCTAGACCCAGCAAAGATGAATGTGCCTTTTGTCGAGAAAAGGGGCACTGGAAGAAAGACTGTCCGAAGTTGAAGAATAAGGCCAGACATAACAATGGAAAGGCCATTATGGATTCAAATGTAGCTGATTNTTGATTGTGATGATTCAGACTTCTTATTAGTTACAACAGAGTTATCAACATCATCAGATATATAGTTGATGGACTCGGCTTGTAGCTATCATATGTGTCCCAACAAGGACTGGTTCGTGAATTTTCAAGAAGGAGAATATGAAATCATCCACACAGCAGATAACAGCCCTCTTACCTCATATGGAATTTGTTCAATAAGATTAAGGAGCCATGATGGAATGATCAGAACATTAACAGATGTTCGATATGTACCCGGTTTGAAGAAGAATCTCATCTCTGTGGGAGCCCTAGAATCAAAAAGGTTCAAAATCATTGCAGAAAATGGAGTGATGAGAATATACTCCGGTGCACTAGTGGTAATAAAGGCCAATCGGAAGAACAGTAACATGTACCGCTATCATGGTAGTACAGTTATTGGGACAACAACAGTGACATCCAGTGATGACAAAGAGGCAGAAGCAACCAGGCTATGGCACATGCGCTTGGGACATGCTGGAGGGAAATCCTTGAAAGCTCTATCTAATCAAGGATTGTTAAAAGGCGTAAAGACTTGCAACTTGAAGTTTTGCGAGCATTGTGTCAAAGGAAAACAGACAAGGGTTAAATTTGGTACAATGATCCACAATACTAAAGGCATTTTGGATTATGTACACTCTGATATTTGGGGTTCTTCCAAAACACCTTCATTGGGTGGGAAGCACTATTTTGTAACCTTTGTTGATGATTTTTCCCGAAGAGTGTGGGTGTATACAATGAAGAGGAAAGATGAAGTGTTGGGAATTTTTCTCAAATGGAAGACGATGGTGGAGAATCAAACAGGCAGGAGGATCAAGTGTATTCGCACAGACAATGGAGGTGAATACAAAAATGATCATTTCAATAAGGTCTGTGAAAATGATGGCATCGTCCGACACTTCACTGTTAGACATACACCACAACAGAATGGAGTGGCAGAACGTATGAACCGGACCTTGCTGGAGAAGGTACGGTGTATGTTGTCCAATGCTGGCTTGGGCAAAGAATTTTGGGCTGAGGCAATTATACATGCATGCCACCTCATTAATCGTCTACCATCTTCTACTATTGATGGCAAGACACCATTTGAAAAATGGTATGGAAAACCTGCTGTAGATTATGACTCTTTGCACGTGTTTGGCTCAATTGCATACTATCATGTGAAAGAGTCAAAATTGGATCCGAGAGCAAAGAAGGCTATATTTATGGGGATTACTTCTGGAGTCAAAGGATACCGCTTATGGTGTCCAGAGACAAGGAATATTATATTCAGCAGAGATGTTACCTTTGATGAATCTGCCATAACAGATAAGGTGACAGTTGAAGATGTCAAACAAACTGGTGGTGCATCAAAGCAGGTGGAGTTTGAGGGAAAATTTATTTTTCCTACACAAGAAGCAGAGGAGGAAACTCATGAAGATTACCCTCTGGAAGAAGAGCCAGTAGAGAGGGAGATTCCAACTCAGGAACCTCGACAACAACTTGAATCAATAGCAACCAGCAGGCCAAAAAGGACAATAACGAAACCTGTTCGTCTCATAGAGACGGTTGCTTGTGCAACCTCAATTGTAGCTGATGGTGTTCCTACCACTTATAAAGACGCAATCCAAAGTTTAAAAGAAGATAAGTGGAGGATTGCCATGAATGAAGAAATGCAGTCCCTTCATCAGAATCATATATGGAAATTAGCCAATCTCCCGAAGGGAAAGAAAATAATTGGGTATAAATGGGTATTTGTAAAGAAAGAAGGATTTCCTAACCAAGAAGATGTTCGCTACAAAGCAAGATTGGTGGCCAAAGGATATGCTCAGAAGGAGGGAATTGATTACAATGAAGTATTTTCTCCAGTTGTAAAATATTCCTCCATTAGAATTATGTTGGCTTTGGTAGCACAGTTGGATTTGGAACTAGTTCAGATGGATATAAAAACTGCAGTTTTACATGGAAACTTGGAGGAGAAAATCTACCTGAATCAGCCAGAAGGATTCAAAGTTGCTGGAAAAGAAAATATGGTATGCAAACTTGAAAAATCGTTGTACGGATTGAAACAATCTTCTAGACAATGGTACAAGCGATTTGACAAGTTTATGTTGCGGCAAGGGTACAAGAGAAGCAAATACGATCATTGTGTGTATTTGCGCAAACTTAATGATGGTTCCTTTGTATATCTTCTCCTATATGTTGATGATATGTTGATAACTTCCAAGAATTCGGAAGAAATTGATAAGTTGAAGATTCAACTGAAGGAGGAGTTCGAGATGAAGGATCTGGGTGAGGCAAAGAAAATTCTTGGCATGGAGATAATAAGAGATAGACGTTCAAAGAAACTCTGTTTATCTCAGAAAGAATATTTGAAGAGAGTACTACAGCGTTTTGGCATAGATAAGAAGACTAAGCCAATTAGTACGCCACTTGCTCCCCATTTTAAGCTAAGTACTACTATGTCGCCAAAGGATGAAACTGAACAGGAGTATATGTCAAGGGTACCATACGCAAATGCTGTTGGTAGCTTGATGTATGCAATGGTTTGTACGAGACCTGACATTTCACAAGCCGTTGGAGTTATTAGCAGATATATTCATAATCCAGGAAAGGAGCATTGGCAAGCTGTGAAATGGATTCTACGGTATATTCATAGTACTGAAGATGTTGGGTTAGTTTTTGAGCAGGAAGGAAATCGGTCTGTAGTTGGATATTGTGACTCAGATTTTGCGGGTGATCTGGACAAACGAAGGTCAACTACTGGTTATGTGTTTACTTTTGCAAAGGCACCAGTTAGTTGGAAGTCTACTTTGCAGTCAACAGTTGCTTTGTCTACAACAGAGGCAGAGTACATGGCTATTACAGATGCTGTGAAAGAGGCAATTTGGCTTCAAGGATTGCTAAAGGAGCTTGGTGTTGAACAAAAAAGTATCACAATTTTTTGTGATAGTCAAAGTGCTATTCAATTAGCGAAGAACCAAGTTTATCATGCAAGGACGAAGCACATTGATGTTCGGTATCATTTCGTACGAGAAATCATAGAAGAAGGTGGAGTCACGGTGAAGAAAATTCATACTACGGAGAACCCTGCTGATATGCTGACAAAAGTGGTGACTGCGGTCAAGTTTCAACATTGTTTGGATTTGATCAACATTGTTGAACACTAAAGATTGAAGATGAAGACACAACCAAAATTTGTTATTGAGAGAAAATTGAAGATGTGGAATTTTGCCAAGGTGGAGATTTGTTGAAATTGTCAAAAGTCCCACATCGGTGGATGACAATTTTGAATGGGAATTTCACCCTATAAAAGGAGGCCTAATGTTTAGGATTTAAACATACCTCTCATTTGCCTTTTTTTATCTTCTTAAGGCATTTGTATCTTCTCTCTTTAGTATTATTTCACTTGTAATTTTGGAGTAGAATAAAATATTGATTGTGTACGAGGAAGTAGGCAAAATTGGCCGAACCTCGTAAATTCTGGTGTTCTTTTATTGTTGTCTTATTGTCTTGTTTATTATTTAGTGGTTGTCATAATTTTTGGTATAGTAGTTGTGACTCATTCACACTATATACATTTGGCTTCCGCAACAGGTGGAAGGATAAAATAAAAACCTTTCTATTAGTTGAGGACTTTGACCAATGGATGATTGTGACTCAGGGACCTTTTATGCAAGAAAAGATTGATAACAAAGAAAAGAAAGTTGCCAAAGTGAAAGAGGAATTAAATGCTGATGACAAGATGATGTTGGAGAAAAATATTGAGGCTAAGTTGTAATTTTCTTAGTCTTGGAGAGATAAATAGGATTTCTATATGCAATCCTGCTAATGACATCCAAGAAAGACTGCTCGCAATGCATGAAGAAACTCACTCAGACATGTCACTAATGGTCTTGATAAATACGGATTCTGAAAAGATTAATACTAAAGATGTTGTGTCCACGATGGCCATGAGTTACTTTGAATATGAAGCTGGAAACAAGGAGATAAATATCCCTAGTGTTAAAGGTAATCTTCATCTTTTTTCTAAGAAACGATTATCTGCCATGGTGCTCTCTTTAATTAATCAGATTGAAAGATTGGGTGTTAACAAAGAAAAATTATTCAATAATTTTTCAACTGTTAAGTTTGTACGCCACAAAATTGAGTTCAGCACGTCTGAACTAAAAAGGGAAAAACAAAATCTTAAGAAACATGCTTTTATTTAAAATATGAAATTGAAGCATTCAAATTTGAAAATGACAATTTAAAAGAAGCACCATTTAAAGGAAAAAGGTGAGATCCATAATATTTAAGAGTCCCTTGAAAATAAATTAAAATTGATCAAGGAAAACTTATACAACCAAGTTGAACGAAATAAAATAATTCAAGAGGACTGAACAAGGCCAAATATGAACTGACAATTAACCTTATTTCATCTTTTCAATGATGCCAAAAGGTGAAAGTGTGCATGAAAGTGAATGCAAATGAATTGCAGATTTTGATATGCTGAAGGGGTGTTTCGTGTCATTACTTTATCATCTTTAAAAGGAAAAATTTATTAGAAATCTAGTTTTAATGATCAACAAATGTCACCTGCTTAATCTCAGACCTTGGGTCTACTGGTAGTTCCTATACAACTAAGAGTCCTAGCGAGAAGGGGATTCACTTTTGCGTCCGACAAGGATCTATTTATACTATGCTTGGCAACCACATGATAACATCAGAAAATCTTGGCAGAGCTTTATAAGTTGAGTTTAGGCCAAGATTTGTGGAAGTACTTATGAAAGTATATTTTACGTTTTTGGAAGATCGAAGGAAAATATTTTCACTTCTTTTATTTGCTGGGGTTAGGAGATTTGGTGCAACTTGGTGAACACTCTTCTATTCATAGCCGTCTATTATGTATTTATATATATAGTACGAGTTTATTTTTGCAAAGGTTGTGCACCTACACACACAACTGAGACATCCTTCTTGTGAGCAGCAACTTTCGAGAACCAAGAGCAAAATAAATTAAAGAACACAGTTCGAGAGATCATTGATTCAAGTTTAGTTCGTTTGTCTTGATTTTGTAATAGGGGTTTTCTCTGCTTATATTAGAAGCTATTTATAAGAACTCTTGAGTGACAATTTTTGTTCTAGACTGAGAAATTAGTTTGGAGTAAGTAGCTACAATCAGTTTGATTGCAGGGTGTTGAGTGACTAGATTTAGTCTATTAGGTTATAAATGTATTTTATAACTTGAAACTGCTCGTTGTTGTTAGTGAAATTTGTGAGAAAAATCCTAGAGTTGGGTTGTGATTTTACTCCCTTGAGCAAGGAGATTTTTTAATGTAAAATTTATGTCTTCTTTTTGCATTTATTTGTTGCAGGAATTACAGGAACCAGTTTAAGAACCACATTATGAGAAAAACGTAAAATTATGATAGAAAATTTTGATCGATCGATATATTATTCACCCCCTCTAGTGTATAAGTGGTGCATAATTATGACAACAAGGGTATATAAGTGGGTCTTACTTGTGAGATTAATTAAGATTCAACTTGTAAGCAAGGGTTCTGAGTTCCGGCGAATCTAAATAATTTTATTTTTTTAAACATGAAGAAATAAAGAAGCCATTGCAATTGCCGGAAAGACTAGACTTACTAATGGCACAAAAATTGATGGAAGGTTCAAATTTGTCATAGAAGGGGTATCTCGATTTACTATTTGTATCTTAGACGTGTAATCTTAGGAGCAACATAACATAGCAAAATATAATGAAGGGAGTAGTGAGAGTAATGTTTGCATTGCCATAAGACACTTGTGGGCATCATATAATGGATGTACTAGCTAGAACTCTAATATGTATACTAGTAGGGATATCTTCCTGTCAAGTAAACTACATTGAGAAATGCTAATAATTTTGGTCATAGTTTCGTCTACGTTACGTACTAACATAAGATAATCTAAAACAATGATTCACTGTAGTCAAATCACTACTAGAAATCCGGTAAAAACCGATCAAAAAAATCGACCAACGTTGGTCGGTAATGGCCAAAAACCGATCAAAACGCGATCATTTACGTGTGGGCGGTATTTTTATGGTCGGAAAGGAATACCGACCAAAGTTGGTCGGACGGTCAATTAAATTCAAAAAAAAAATATTGCAAAAAAAAACCGACCAAAGTTGGTCGGTATTTTAATTATGTAATAAAAAGATTCACCATCTGGGAATCGAACCGGGGTCTGTACTGTGGCAGGATACTATTATACCACTAGACCATTGGTACATTTTATTTTAAGACTGTCTTTTATTTGATTTATACTCTTTAATTGTATTTTCGCACGAAAATAACCGACCAAAGTTGGTCGGTTTTATTAAAAAGTAAAATTACCGACCAAAGTTGGTCGGTTTTTTTAAATAACCCGCCGAATTAACCGACCAATTTTGGTCGTTTTTTTAAGTGGACCACCATAAGTAGTTCACTGGTCTATCGCAACACCACTTAATATCTTGATTGAGAAAAGATTTCTCGGTTGGAGCCAATAGTGTCATTGTCCATTCTCATGGTGAGAATGATTTCTCTATCAATTGCATTGGTTACGCAACTTAATAGAGTCAATCATATTGTTTGGTTGATGTGGATTTCACTTTGCAAAATGGGACTATCATGCTTTCACTTTCAGACTATCTTTATTTACTTGATTCTTTTGATTACGTAAGTTGAAAAATCTATCGGCACATTATCAAGTAGTAGTAGTGGATAAGTAGAACTTCAATTTCTCGAAAAAATCTTTATTCAATCTTATTCTCATCTATTTTGCTTACTAATTTATTTCTTTGTTTCTTTTTGGCTGAGGTAAAGAGGAGAAAACGCTAGAGATATGATATAATTTTTAAAAGTTATTCCTTTTCATTTATCACTTTCATATATACATAATTATATGATGCAATTTTTTAAATGAAAGTAATTATTCCAAGTGTTATGTTAATATTTTTCCTAGTACATACTATATCTATATGATAAGATATGGTTATTAGACAAATTTGATAAGATTGATATTCTTTGTAAAGGTGCTAGCTGTTAGTTTGATGGGACTTACTGTTTTGCTCATTTCAGTGGATCAGACTGCATGCCAGACATTAATATATTCAAGTAGTTTGATTAGTTTTCTGGTAAACTATAGGAGAGACGAGTAAATAGAACCAATTTCTAAAGCTAGTGTTTTTCTTTAAACATTACGCATTTAAAGCGCATTAATCTGGCTAATCTGAATTTGTACTGAAAGACTTAATAAAAGAGTAAAGGCTCTCCATTCGGTCTCTACATACACAAAGCTCGCATTCGAGATCATTGGTTAAGGATAGGTACCATGTCATCCCAACTAATTAACTCCTTGTGGGTTATAATTAGGTGGCCATTCCCTAAAGCAAATAAAACTTCATATACACTATTAAATTTTATTACCCTCCCTACTCAAGTTTTAATTTAATTACATCCTATATACAAATTTATCAATTATATACACTTTAGGAATTAAATGAATATTCCTTTTATATTAGGAATCGATTATTTCTCATCCTTATTCTCTCCCCCTCCTGCGCTTTCTCTCTCCGTCTCTCTCTCTCTCTCTCTCTCTCTCTCTCTCTCTCTCTCTCTCTCTCTCTCTCTCTCTCTCTCTCTCTCTCTCTCTCTCTTCGTCTCTCTCTCTCTCTCTCTCTCTCTCTCTCTCTCTCTCTCTCTCTCTCTCTCTCTACGTCTCTCTCTATCTTTCAGTCCCTAATTCCAGTAATGTAGAGCAAAGGAATAGAGAGCAGCAATTCCATGCTTATTGAAATTCCAGTAATGTAGAGCTAAGGTGTTGCACAATTGGTGTTCAAATTCCAGTAATGTTGCACAATTAGTATTCAAATTGAAATTGTCAATTAATCAATAAATTTTGAAGTTGTGACTCTCCACCATTGACAGCCATTAAAAAGCTTTAAAACTTTGAATTTGAATTTGGGTTTTCAAAAACCATTATTTGTTTGGATTGAGTGTTGTTGTAAATAATTAGAAATATTATTTGGAGTTTATATCTCAATTTTGAGGGTGTTTTGGTGAAGATTAGACTTGATTTTGGCTGAATTTCAGATTGAAACTCGAAGAAGAAGAAGAAGAAGACACTACTAGAAATTTGCTAAAAACCGACCAAAAAACCCGACCAAAGTTGGTCGGTTATGACCAATTACCGACCAAAATGCGATCATTAGGGTGTGGACGGTGTTTTGATGGTCGGAATGACTTACCGACCAAAGTTGGTTGGAATTACCGACCAACTTTGGTCGGTAGCTTAAAACGACCATCTGACAAGTTTAAGTACTTATCGACCAACTTTGGTCGGAAACATATTTTATTAATTTAATTTTACCGATCAAAGTTGGTCGGTTTAACTAAATTATATTTTTTTTATTAATTATTAAAATTTAAAAAAACCGACCAACTTTGGTCGGTA